ACAGACCCTTAGGAAGCAGTAGGAGGTGGGGAGAAAAGGCAGCCAATGAACTAACTACTGCTTGTGTAACTGAATGTTACAAGACTTCATCATGTTTGAATGTAGCTGGGAACAAAGGTATGTAAAACATCACTGATATGCTGAGTGGTCAGGGTGAAGAGCGTAAACCTATTTACCAGGATATGCCTGAATGCTGGACATGATATGTCCTAACCTATGCTATCTGATAAGCTGAGGTTGGTGACATGACATCTCAGTGATTTTTTTAATTTTGTTCAACTATGCTGACATTTTGTAGTGGAATGCAAGGCATAATATCCTCCATCTGTTGAAGTCCACAGTCCCTTTGTCTTCAAAGGAACCGAGTTCACCCACAGTGGCTAATGGCCTTTTCTTCTTTCAGCAGGCCTTTTGGGCAGCTCCAGCTCTGTTCTCCAGGGAGAAGGGACTAGAAAAGCTTCTTCTGGGACTGGTTTGAGGTAGGATCCACTTGCACACTGCCCAGAGGCAGTAAGTGTTTTCTTATGCTTCTGTAAAACGACAGCAATAAAAGTGGATGTGGTCTAATCATTAAATGTAAATTGCTAAGGTCAATGGGGATAAATAGAAAAAAATATCTCCAGATAAATGGAACGATAAAACATGTCAGATGCTTCAAAAAGGCATTGGTAGTCATCACATGGGATCTGCCCTTTGAGCTGTGCTGGCAAAAGTAGAAGGGTGAGGATGGCTGACAGATTCTATGCTTTGACAGGGACTCCTAAAATGCATTTGCTCCATCTGCAAGTCAAATGATCATATTTTATTTCAGATTCTTTGCCTAGTATTGGATCACTGGCTTTTTGTCTCTTGGGCAAAAGAAATACTTTTTCTTGCTAGAAAAAGTATTACAGTCAGCTGTAGGTCTTAGAAATATACTTTGGTATATGGAAAGGAAAGGGGTTTTCTTCTGTGATGGAGTCTCACTCCCACAGTGGGTTGCTTGATGGATGTGGTCACTTGATGGAGGCATACTGCCCCGTGCGGACAGCTCCAGGGTTCTGTCCTTTCTTCAGCTCAGCTCTTAAAGCCAGAGATAACCACTGTGGAGGAAACATGTTCCTTGTGGTATCAGAAAGAAAGAAAAGATGGAGACATATTTACAAAGAAGGGTGTGCTAACGATCCTAGCAAATCTGCATTTGGTGGGTACAAGTGAGGAATCAGTGAGAGCAGAGACAAAGAGGGAGCCTTGCTGGAGGGATATCTCTAGAGCAAAGCACAGCAGTCCCAGACGCCAGCCTTGGTCAACTCCAGATCATCAGAGGTGTTTCAAGCTCTGTGAAACTGGCCTATGGATGTGGAGGAGTGTAACTAGCAGAGCGGCAAATCCCAGCTGTCCTCTGCACTAAAGGGTCAGCAAGAAATACCAAACGGTAACCACACAAAGCTCTAGCTTTTTACATAATTTTTTCTTGGTAGGAAATGATCCTGCTCTTAGCAAATAAAAATGGATTGGCCTTTTATATGCCTCTGTAAATGTTTTGGCTGTGCATAGGCAGTTATAGTAGCCAGCACTTGTTCTTTGTAAGTAGGGTAGAGGACATGAGGAAACCAACATTTTCAGTAACAGGAGGCAATTTGATATTTGCATTCCTGACTCTAACTTCAGTTTAAAATCTCTTTGAAACCCTTAAAATATATTCCAGGTTAGTAGTTTCTGCTCAAATCTGAGGGTTCATTTTAATATTGGCTTTTTGTTACATTCATAAGAACAATAATTAAACATCAACAGGTCCTTTATAAACAAAAGACTCCTGGATCACTTCAGTGGATTGCTTAGTACAACTGATTGCCCACCACTTCTCAAAAACCCTTTCTGTTTCAGGGCCCTTCTTTACAAACTCACCATGAAACCAAGATGAGCCCATATCTAGTATCCTGATATTTAGGATATAGGATCCTGGCTCCTGCCAGTGTCTAGCCAGATTTAAACTTAAGATTCTGTGTATGTCTCTGGGCAGGCGTGAGTCTCCTTGGAAGACCTCAGACCCGGGCTCTTGCATCACGCCTCCAGTGGAATCGCCCTGGTTCCCACACTCAGCTGGGTCCATTGCTGCGGCCTCACGTGCCCTTGGGATAAGTATACACTATCCACCTTCCCATGTGCACAGAGAACCAAGCTCTGTTCCTGCTTAAGTGACCCTGGTCCTTAATGGGAATCAAAAGTCAGGATGACCAGAAAAACCCTATCCAGTCATGAATCTTCTGTTTAGGTTTTTCTCTTTCCTTAGCGTAGATAGGAGTATTAATTTCAAGGCTTCAGTGAGGTCAGCAATAAAACTCCCACTGGCTGCAAGGGAACTAAAAGTCCACCCTTCAATATCTGATACTTATCTTTCTTTAAAAGCAATTTCTTTGAATGCTTTAAAATGAAATGCTGAATGCCTGATGATTTCCCTTTCTGCCTTGGGCCAGGCTATGAAATAGATGTTCTGTGGAGATCAGCCACTGACATTGTGCTGTTGAGCCGCGATATGATGTAGCATTGGATGATCCTCACCTCCATCCTAAAGAAAAACTGACAGTTTTAACCTTACGTTTTTGCAATTACACTGTCAGAGTATCTGATTACAGGATATAGGCTTAAAAGGAAAGATTTTTATGCACATTAGAATAGTCCAGGAAATTTCAGACTGTTTGAAATTTCTACAAAAAAAGCTTCATTAGTCTTTGTGGGAAATCTGTATATTTGATCAACAACTTCTAATATAATAAAATCTACCAGATTCCAACTGTACACTTGATTGTCCATTTCTTGCTCATGCAAATCACCCGGCAAAGTCATCAGGAGATTTTGGTGCACTAAAAACATATTCTAGCCAAGTAGTTAAAACACCACTAAGACATTTTGCAGGTTGGACGGTTTTAATTGATTTTCTGTAATCTTTAATCTTAAAAAGATGTTTTCTTTTGATGATGCATTTTCTAGCCTATTTGGCTTGTAAACTTTTTGAGGCATGGACTGCCTCATACTGTAGACTTCCACAACACATACATCAGGTTTTAGAAGAGCCATTTCGGTATCATTATACTGCCAAGAAGTAAATAAGGAGTGAACACTTACTGTGTTCTGTGCATGTGTACCGCTGGCATTTGTGCAAGAGATGTCAGGAATCACCTATTTCGCTTGCATTGCTCTCTCTGTTGCAGCTAAAATCTGCCTAAGAAAGGATAGGTATGGAGGCCAGGCTTTGTGTCCATGGGTTGGTAAATCTGGCTTGAGGTTATTTATCAGTGGATCAGAAGAGATACCAGCATAAATGGTAAAAAATGTAGGATTGATGCAAATTCATTCCTCCTAATGAAATATGTTGACATTGTTGAAAAGCGGTAACTTTCTTTTGGTCAGCTTTATAATGAATTTGATGAGTATTTTTGCCTGCAACTGACTTACAGACAGCTGAAAGCGTTGAACTACTTTAATGCTATGTCTCATATTCTTGCTAATTCTGAAGAAAGAGAAATACAGTGGTGCACTTACATTTGATGCAGGCTAAATTTGTATTGTCAGTTTTCCCAGTAAAGCAAGTATCTAGCATGAAAGAAAGGGAAAGTCCCAATAGTTGAAGGGGTGATTCTTGTGAAACATGTTGCATTTTATCATCTCGTGGCAAGTGCATTTGTTATATTTTTCCCTTTATTCATTCACAGTGCCTATTTGCCATAGGTTTTGGCATAAACATTTTATTGCTCATTTGTAAATTAGAACTTGTCTGTGGGACAGTAAGTTTTAGTGTTTCATGAAATTATAAATCTTATCTGCTCTGTACTTACCTGGCCAGAAAAGGAAGATTATGGATGAAGGGTCCCATTCTTCCTTAACCTTTTAGTGTGAGTGTTCTAACTTTGAAAAAAAGTGTTAAACAAGAGAGATTTTTAATTGTCCTTTTCTCAGCTCCCATGATTCTTCCTCATGTCTAAATCATTGCTACAGTTGCTACATAGACAGGTTTGGCTAGTACTGCAAGAAAAGCAAGAGCTGATTAGCAGGGCATTTAGCAGTGTAATATCGTACAACTTCAAAATTACGTTTTGGATCCTGATTTTAGTAAATTTCTAACATTAAAATACAAATCTGGAAGATTTTGAGAGGTGAAATTTATAGCAATAGATGTCAATAAGCATGATGTGATTACTGTAAAGCTGAAGATGTATTTATTTACTGTTTAAGAAAAGCCTGGCAACCTGCTTTTATAGTTAAAATTTGTCCTCTTTATTTAGCAGCCTCTATTCTGACCATTGAAAAATATTTATCTATCTGAATTGCTGATGGTGACGCATGGACACAGTGACTCCCAACAAAGCCGACATTTATTGCATCTGCTCATATACAAAGCCATGAAGAAATAACGCATTCATATTCAGCGAGAGTGAGGACACTGTTTGAATCAGCATTGTATGGACCTTCGTATATTTAGAAAGAGCTTGCAATTGCATTTGGTTAGGTATGTGTTTGAAAACAACTACAGACCTTCAGCTTTTTGCAATTATTCAGAAGGGTGATTTATCAAAAACAATGCCCATGATTCTGTTATCACTAAATCTTCATACATTGTACTGGAAATTTATCCTGTGTGTTGCCTATAACTCAGAGAATCCTATAAGGCTAGTTTAAATCATCGGTGGTACTGTCATCCCCTGCCATCTGTGGGGGATGCATAACTATGCATAACTATGTACACATCTGCAAGTATCAGTACCCGTTTGCATAACTAGGGGTTCCCATGCTTATTTCTTTTGGAATTATAAATATTTTGATGAAAAATCTTTGAAATAGCCTCAAAATGCCTAAAATGATGGAGACAAAAAGTCTTGTAAGACCTAAAGCAAGAGAAGTTATACATTTAAGCAAATACTGAAGTGAGCAGTTAATACACCTCCCCAAAGCATATGTACTTTAAACTACTTGCATTTTATTCGGCAGTGGAATTCCACCAATATCTTTTCTTTTCCCCATTTACACGTTTTCTGTGCCATTTCCTTGAAAGTGCCTAGGAGACTGCCCAACAAGAGCTAACATATCTTTGAAGTAACGGGATTAGAATAATGATGGTATCACCGCTGCTCTTCAGGGTGGAATTTGAAAGTGTTTGTTTTGTGGCAGGCTTTCAACTTTATGCAGAATAATTTCTTAGCTGAAGCATTTGGCAAAGGGTGCTCTGCATGACTCAGCAGCAGACCTTCTCAGATTTTGGTTTTATTAATATCGGGCTTATTTTTTACATGAACTCATACATATTTATCATTCAAGCTCTCCTGAGTGCTCCTGAGCTTTCTCTGGTTCCAGTGCACGTCTCTCTCTAGCTACTCCAGCAAAGCTACATGGCACAGTCCACACAGCGATTCATTCTTTGGGAAAAAAATCATTCACTGGAGGAATTTTTTGTTGCAGCTAGATAGAGAGAATTCTCTTATTTCTGTCTTGAAGGGGTACCTGGGAGGAACTGTGCAGATCCTACAATATTCACACCCTGTAACTAGATTGAAGTAATGACCTGAGCTTTTGAATTTGATATTAATGCTAGCCATGCAGTCTTTATTAGCGCACACGCTTGTTACTCATGCAAGTATCAGTACTGGCTTGAAAGGAGTTTCCTGTAGAAGAGGAGCCGGCCTCTAGTTGCTCGCTGTTATAGGCGTCATCATAGTCTCAGCCTGGTTCAAAAGCAGCAGAGAAAACATGTTCACCCCGACGCATGCTGGCTAAAGCGCTGATGCTCTGGCCAACTCTTTCAGCACCTCAGAAGAAAAATGGAAGAGCTGTTAATTTTCTCTGTACTGAGAAATGAACGGGTCAGGAAAGATTGATGAGTAGTTCAAACATAGACCATAATCACCTTATAGGATTTGCCTAGCTCCTTAGGGAAGCAGAGGTGATCTTTTCTTGTGTCTTTCAGCTGCTTCTCCTCCCCTCCCCACCACAGACCTTTTGAACTCATTGGCCAGTTTAAGTCTATACTAAAAGAGGCATAGATGTCTCAAAGGTAATTATATATCTACGTGTTCTGGCAAAACTGATTATTGGGTAGAGAAGGAAGATCCATATTTTTGCTGGAAAGATCAGCAGAAAGCTGGGGTACAGAAGATCCTGTACAGATCTGAACTGACCACAGCGCATACTGTCTCCTGTGTAGTGGGAGCCCTAAGTGACCTTGGAGAGGTGGAAGATGGAGCTACTGGAAAGGAGAAGGCAGGGAAGTCGTGGTATATATCTAGACTTCATTTGTTCCATTGCTCATAAACCATTTGATTATTTCCAGCTAACGGATTACCAATACATTTACATTACAAATAATATTTTACTCTTCTGGAATGCTCTTCATCAGCAGATTTCAAATTCTTTATTCTTACAACACCCTGTAAAATAAAGAGGACCAATACCTCCATTTTACAGGTGGGGAGAACTGCACAAAGAGCACTTGCTTTAGGCCACAGAGGAGATCTATGGCTGAGTACAAAATTATATCCAGTCTCCAAAGTCCTAGATTAATACTCAAGCCACAGGATAATCACAGTTTGTTAATACCAGTTTAAACACACCCTTAATGTTTCTTCCAGGTTATACACATTTGTGGTTTCCCCTAACCAGAGCTGAGAGGAAGCCAAATGGTAAATAATGAAATACTGAGAGTTCAGACTGGGCCATCAGACTCTTTTGAAGGCAATATATATGCTGTCACTTTAATCTTTAAAATGAATTAGCCATTGTCCATTTTATAATACGTGAAGGAAAGATTCCAAGCTTACTAGCTCAGTAACAAATACAAATTTTCATATTTTGAAAACTCTGAGAAGTGTTTTAATTGTTCTTAATTCATACTTCTCCTGTGGCTATTGTGTAGCAGGTGTGTCCCATATAAAAAGAGAGGGGGCAGGCCTGGAAGGACCAGGAGCTGCCTTCCTTAGCGCTGGCGATCCATATACACCCATTATCTGGTGCTGACCCATCTGTGCACCTGAGCAGCCCTGCCTTCAGTTTGGAAATACGTTTGTGCCTGAATTTGTACTTCACACAGCTTGTAAATTTTGTCATAAGCCTTTTTGACTTTGTGTCTTCATATGTCTATAAAGATTGAAACAAAACCTGAAATTTCTGTGTTTTCCAATCTTTTCCACCTTTTTGGACTTTTCACCTTTATGTGTCACTTTTAAAGCTATTTTTTGCTGATGCACTGTGAGTCTCACTGATATCATAATGCCCTAACATTTATTTCTCTATAGCATCAGTCTCACCAAGAACTTCTCTTTTCCGAAGTGTTTTCTGCCATTGGCCTCTTCAAGCTTACTGGTGCTGCCTGCAAGAATGGCAAAATTCAGATGTAGTTTCTCGGCAAAATGAAGAAAGCATGAATTCAAACTGTACTCTGCCTAATTTGTTTGCAAATATATTTATTGAGAGACAAGAAAATTAATAGCTGAAATGTTCCTCTTCAAAGTAGTTTTTCCTTCCCGAATTCTCATTTGTCCAACCATGTTCTTAAACGAGAATTCCCTGTAAGCATTTTGATGAAATGCAACTTTGATTTAGGGACACACAATTCCCTAATTTTCTGTGGAATACAGGCTCCTAAACCACGCAGGGAAATCTGAAAATTCCAGCTGTATGTTTTCTCTTTTCTTCAGCAATGTCATGACTTACTTTGTACTGCTTACCTACGGATTAGAGTTTCCACTCACTATAGCTTGCTTCTTTTTCTAGTCACAAATATATTACCTCTTTATTTGGCAAGCTATCGTTGGCAAACCACTCTGTTATGAAGAACTATCATTTAGAATCCAGACTCTAGATGGCAGCTTTTCTAAATTGTTGAGGACTGAACTGGAGATGATGGCCAAAAACTTTATGTTGACTCCTTGTCTGCCATTTCATAAACTTGCACAGTAGTTGTTTTATAAATATTACAAAGAATTTCTAAGAGCTGAAAATTTGATGTGCTTACCTTGTGTGAAGCATTTTGAGATTAAAGCCTTCTTTTGATCAATAATTTCCATAGGGTAAGATGCATCATTTCTTTTTTTTTTCTTTTTCATATTTAAATTGTTTGTAGAATCCAGTTTTCTCCAGTACCTCAAACACAGATTTGTTGCAGGAGTTTGTATGAAGAAGAGCAAAGGAAGGTTATGGAAAGTTTTAATCTTTGAAAACAGGTGGCTGGCAAGTTGTTAATACTTTTAATAATCTTTAATATTATCTTATTATTTCTCTGTCTGTTTTATAGTTTGGGTTATGGATTATTAGCATGATATTACTTTCATCTGCTAGTCATTATGGTTTTTAATGCAAAAGTCCTTTAAACAAACTGCTTTAACTGTTTAACTGAGATTCATGGAGTTTAACTTACAAGTAGACAGCCTCAGAAAAAGACATGGGTAAATTTGAAAGCCACTTGCTGAAAATACGTAAGCAGTTAAAAATGTACTGATATACAAAGAAAAGACTAGCCAAAAAAAAAAACCCAGAGGCTTTCTAACACCTTTTATAAATAGAAAATTGAAAAGGAACATCTTGAAAAATGGAATACTTTACAAGTGCAGCACATCATGAACCCAAGGAGCCTGTGACTAAGAGATTTTGAGGCCAGGAACTTAACATTTAAAAATAGTCATCCATACAAACGTTGATAACATGTAGGAGAGTAGCCCAGAATCTTTGCAAGTTTATAGGCCACAAGTCTGAGTGAGCACATGTGCTATCATATCGCACAGTGTTTTCCATTCATTTTGTGCTAAGCGATGGTAGTTCCTTGTGGCCCTCTGTGATGGCAGGAGGTTGCATGGGCCCTGTTTCCTGTAAGATATGGGCCAGGAGTCATTGCTTTTTTGGGCTATATGCATAGGCATTAAAAAAATAATAATAAAAAAATAAAGCCAGTATACCTTTGGAAGGTCTGAGAAGTGTTGTATGATATCCTAGTCTATGCTGGGCTATTCTGAATACTAGTTATACAGTCAAAAAAATCATTTCAGACCTGAGACTCTTACTGCCACCACTGGGCTCCACAGAAAGGCACCTTTACCTTCCTGTCACCAAACCTCTCAGAGTTTATGAGGCTGGAGGAAATGAAAATTTACAAACTCTAATGCCCCTGGACATAAACCATATCCCAAAAGCCTGAGATTTCAATATTTGTGCTGCACTACCGCAGCATGTGATATGGATTCACAGACATTATCATATACATAATAATAATTAAAAGTAAGCAATTCCACGGGTAATGAGACCGATGAAATCTATTTCTTCCAGATCTCTGTCACAAGGGTCAGTTCTCATGTGCGTTCTTTGGTGTTTAATAGAGGCTGAGATCCATTAGAGTCCTTCCTCTACAAGGGGAAATTAATAGGGCCCCTCTCTTCTTCCTGGCTACCTGTTTAATGAAATTTCTAGAAGCTTAGTATCTTTGAGCATTATCTGGCTTTGTCATATTTGATTGAACTTGGCCAATGGGTACAGCGATTACTGAGGGAATGACAGGTGGACAGGCAGACAGATGCATATGCTTACACAAACATCCGCAGAAGGAAAGGATCACGCATTTCCTTGCAAAACTCATCCAAGAAAATCCTCCTCTGATGTAAGATTATTCCATTAGGGTCCTCAAGTTTCTACCACCTTCCTCTGAGCCCTCACAAATGGCTAGCTAGGGAGATCAGATATGTATTGCAGAGATGGGCTGCTTATGCCCTCTGGTTTGGCGTATTCAGTGCTCCAGCAGTTCATCTTCTAGGCTATCAGTTGCTCCTGTTGAAAGTACCTAGTAATACTACTCATACCTAGTAAAGGGTATGAGGTATTAAAATTTGCAGTCATTTAGATTAGATTTAGAGTTAATGTCTAGAGCATGCCTAGATATCCAAGTAACTGTCTTTTAGTGTATTCTAGGACAAAAAAAAAATCATTACCAGTATTAAAAATGCTTAATGATATTGTGTGTCTCGTCAGCAGAACTCAGACCTCTGAAAACAGGGAACTAATTCCTCACGCGGTCTTCATGTCCGCTACGCATCGGCATGCCGGTAAGTGTACACAGTCTCACGCTGCTGCTGTACGGTACTGAGCACCCAGACACGCTCTGTCCTGTGGCCAAGCACTTACTCTTTCCCGCAGAAAGAGCACACCTGCTAGACCGTACTTCCCTCTCGCTCATATTTACAATTCCCTTCCAGCCTGGATGTGCCCAGCGCTGTACGTGTTCTTCTCACGTTGTTCGTCCCCTGTGCCCAAGGCAGAAGCCAACCTGACTACTGCCACGCAGCGCAGCACTTTTTAAAGCTCGTTCGCAGGATGAGCACAGAAATGAAAACAATCCAGAGGACGTGGCCTCAGAGGTGACCGCGCAGCGGCTGAAGCTATTGCTAACTACGTATACGCTCTTAACCTGCCCCGGGTGTGGGGTAACGACTGGCATAAAACGTGCTGGGATTTGTAGCTGGAGTAATCTGAGTACAAACACATAATGTTACTGTGCCTCAACTAATAAGCCAGAAAGTTTTAAGCTGCTGGATCCTTGTTGTCATGTGCTTGTACTTCATGCTAAGTCTGTGGATTTTAGAGTGCTCAGAAATGCCAACCTTTAAGTGCAAACATGCTTTTGATCTTTACAGTGCAACCGGCACTCTACTCCAGTATTTGTTACGCTCAGCATACTTAGCCATTGAACAGGCTTATTATTTACTTAAGGCCCTTTGCCTTGCATTCAGCACGTAAAAGCTGTAGCTCCAGAGAAGGGTTTTGTTTTGTGTTGGCTGACACATCCCAGAGTCCACTGCTATTCTGGCGGCTCTCCTGCCCGAAGTCCTGTAGGGGCTTTGGTCTCAGCACCAGGAGATACAGACTCTTTCTTGGCAGAACTGTTCTTTTTTGGCTGTCCTTTGTTTGAAGGGGTGTGTGTGTGCGTGTGTGTGTTGGGGGACCAGCTGAGCTGCAGATTGAGGTCCGTCTCACAGAGGTTAGCGTAGAGCAGCAGAACTGGCAATATCTATCTAGGGAGAAACATAAATGAGATTTATCCCGTATAATTACGGGAGGGGGGGAAAA